TTATAGAAACCGCCACCGTCACTGAAGATACTTCTATCCCGGAACACGCCTCTGAAAAAACTGCTAACGGTAATATTATAGAAACCGTCACCGTCACTGAAGATACTTCCATCCCGGAACACGCCTCTGAAAAAACCGCTACCGGTAATATTAAAGAAACCGCCACGGTCACTGAAGATACTTCCATCCCGGAACACGCCTCTGAAAAGACCGCTACCGGTAATATTAAAGAAACCGCCACCGTTACTGAAGATATTTCCGTCCCGGAACACGCCTCTAAAAAAACCGTTAACGGTAATATTATAGAAACCGCAACCGTCACCGAAGATATTTCCGTCCCGGAATACGCCTCTGAAAAAACCGCTAACGGTAATATTATAGAAACCGCCACCATCATTGAAGATACTTCCATCCCGGAACACGTCTTTGAAGAAACCGTATACGAGAACATAGAAACTATAACCGCCAACGAAATCACAACCTTCGCAGATCCTGCTTCTTCAAATAACGCTCAAGAGAACATAGAACTCAAATCCGGCACTGACAACAAGAAAATCGTAAAAAAAGTAATTAGTTTAGTTCTCTTTTCTGCTGTCTGTTGGGCTGCGTATAAATACCTGAAATAAATGCGTTGCATTTAAACCAAAAAAAGAGGGGTTCGGTAAATGTTATGGCACTACATATCTGATCGGACGATTAGTTACGGAACGCAGGAGTGTAGGTTTAAATTCCAGCCATCCGGTAGCCGTTCTTTCATCTATATTAGCTGGCACAGTCTGTGGATTACTACATGTAACTCCTTACCTCCATATTTTATGAGTTCTGTTGGAAAATCATCGATACCAGGTGCTTTCCAATTCTTTAGGCCACTTATTGCAATTGTTACTTCTTTTAGACTAATATCTTCTACGTAAGGCTCCGCTCTTTCATTTTCGGTATGTGATACGGGCTGGACTGACATCCTACCATTTAGTAGTTCTTCAAAATATCCTTTCCATCTCTCAGCTCTTGACTCTAGCTCCATTAACATTTGTCCGTCTTGGTCTCTGATTGCAATCCATATAGGGTTGAATTGCTTATACTGTTTAACGACTCTAAAAAAACTTCTAGTTCTCCCTTGTGTATGGTCCTTCTCTGCGATTTGAAGTGTGTTGCTAAAGAATTTTATTTTTTCCCTTTGAAGGGTGTCTTTGCAGATTTTACGTTCTCGGATGAAAACTTCTTTAGTTATTTGAGAGTTGTGCTTAATAAAGTCATCTCTCGCTTTACGGCGTTTGTCTACAGCAATTCTACATACATCATTATACAATGTATTTTTTGACCTCTTTAGCTCACCAATGCTAGTGGCCGCTGCTTTTTTGACAGCATTACTCACTTTTTCCCAATCCAGGTCTACGTCCATTTGTACATTATTCTCTTTAAGATTCTTCATGACTTCGTTTTCATAGTTTTTTCTGACGTTTTCATCTTTAAGTAACTCTAGGTTCAATTTAGCTCTTTTGCCTTGTTTTAATCTCGATTGGCTTTTTAGCTTTGATCTACGTTTGGCGATCACCAAGTAGTGATCCGTGTCACATTCGGTACCTCTATGACTTCTTACGTCGTGAATGGTACTACGATATCTAGTTTGTATGAGGACGTGATCTATTTGGTTCAGGGTTTTGGCATCCGGTGATCTCCACGTGACTTTATGAATATTTTTATGTGGGAACGTGGTACTACTAACAGTCAACCCATTTGATATTGCAAACGCTATCAATCGTTGACCATTGTCGTTGCTGTTACTATGCAAACTTTCCTTCCCTATACAAGGGAAGTACTGTGGTTCCCGTGTCCACATTTTGTATTGAAGTCACCTAATACAATCTTTATCACGTTCCCAGTGATACTCTCATATGTTTTAGTCAGTTCGTCGTAGAAGATGTCTTTCGCATTGTCATCTTTTACTTCTGTTGGTGCATGACCATTTATTAAACAAATATTAATTGGGCTAGTGTTGATGGTTAATGTCGATATCCGTTCGGATACTGGATTATATTCTTTAATGTACGGTACTAATATCCTATGAACTGCAAAACCGCTACCGAAGTGATGCGTGTTCTCCATTCCTGAGAAGAAAATTGCGTACTCTCCTATCGTTAGTTGTCCTACTCCCAACCATCTTATTTCTTGTATGGCCGCTACTTTAATGTTGTAGGTGTTAAGGACATCGACTAAATTTTGACTTGCACCTGTTTTATACAAACTTGTCAGATTCCGTGTCGCAATCTTAAATTCAGCATTCCGTTTCCAAAAACCAGTCTTGAATCCATGTAATCTTGTCAAAGGCTTAGGTGTAGTTG